ACAGTCTATGCTTCAAATGCAATAAAGACAGCATGTGTGTGTGTATGTGTGTGTGTGTGTGTTCACAAAATGTTACTTTTACAAGACTCTTTCTAAAGGGACAAACAAAATGTGAAAATGTGTTATTAATGGAAAAGTTGAGTACCCCAGATTAAAAGAGAACATGACTTCATTGTTTGTTTATTTGTGCTTATGTGTGTATGTGCTTATGTTTGGTGTGCATGTATATATTTGGAGGGATCAGTTGGTTTCACACACACACACACACACACACACACACACACACACACACACACACACACACACACACACACACACACACACACACACACACACACACACACACACCCTCAGGTCCCGTAAGGCCGTATCTCTGGTCCACACTCAGCCCCGCACAGCTGTGAGGAGAGAGGCAGCGAATATAATCTGTTTACACGGCTCTGAGGGCTTATCGAACGTGTGCACTCCAAACATCAGAGGGAGAAGTGTGTGTGTGTGTGTGTGTGTGTGTGTGTGTGTTTGTGCGTGTGGGTGGGTATATACGTGTTGGGGGATACCGACTTATACAGACTTCAATCTTCCCTTTCCATTTTGTGACAAAGTTCAGACAGTAGAAGGTCCAACTCCAAAAGCAACTTCAAATAAGATACATTATTATATGACTTGGACCGTACGCGCGCTCTGATTGGTTGATTTGCGGCCTGATATTTTCCCATCTCGGACCGTTACCATGACAATCTGTCCGCAGCGCGTATCACACAAAACCAAGTCGGACATGAACATACTTCACAAATATCTCAAAAGCATTGGTGACGAGAGTCATATAATAAAACATTTATTAACCTTTCTTGCTCGGTTAAAAATCCGTTAGTATTATCTTTTTTGCTGGATCATATTGATAATTGTTGAATACGTGTTTTTATTTGTTTTTATTTAATGAATGAATTAATCGTCAATAAATTAAATAGATATGCATCAATAGTGTTTTTCCCACTGGGTTTTTAAAGAGTTGTTCCTTGTCGATGCAGGAGGGTCTTGTTGGACAGTTAGTGTCCAACAGAAAGGATTGGTGATGATCAGGACACTTTAGCATTCTACAACATGTATGGACATTTTCTTCTGTGTGTGCTTTATATTCTTCATGTGTTTTAACTGTTGATTCTCTGACCTGTGTTGGTGATTTCAATGGTTTTGTTAAGTCTCTGAGAGGACTTCTGTTGTGACCTAGGGCTATACAAGAATAAATTGTATTGAATAAATTGTTTATAAATGTATTGTATTGAATTGAATCAAGATGCATATCGGCCGGCTCTGAAAGACCAGCCAAGTGCAATTTCTATGCACACTAAACATCAATAGTTGTTAACTTTAGGCCAAGAGTTCACCACTTGTAGTTGTGTCCCTGCAATTAAAAGGGAGTCTTGCAAATACAGCTACGACGGCAAAAATGATTTATTTGGTTTTTGCTGTGTTCAAATTCAAACTCTGCTTGTCACACCTGGTTTCGAAAGCATCTACCTCCAAATGCAAAAAGTTCATTTTGTCTTCTTACGTTTAAGGTAAGAAAGTAAAGTAAAGAAAGCTAGTACTGCTTAATTACCTGACATGTTTCGGCGGTACACTTTCGCCTTCATCAGAACATCAAAAGGAATGAGAAAAAGAAACGGCAGCGCGACTAACAAGATCAACCAAGGAAAAGGCAACACAGGAAAACCTCAAAATCAGCAACATCAGAGCACTGCGAAAGAGAAAATCACATCATGGACTGGGACAATGCCAAAATAGTAGGAACAGAAGAACATAAATGCAAAAGACGGATACGAGAGGCGATTGAGATCAGGAAGCGGGGAGCACGGACCATCAACAGGGACGAGGGGGCCTTCACCTTGGCTCACACTTGGGATTCACTTCTCCAGAGACCACAGCGCGGCGGGGGGCGTGGTCAGTCTGATGGATCTGTGGGATCTGTCAGACTGACCGCATCCGGCAACAACAGCTGAGTCACACCATCACGTGTCTCCTCTGATGAAGGCGGAAGTGAACCGCCCAAACATGTCAGGTATTTAAGCAGTACTAGCTTTCTTTACTTTTCTTGTCTCATTAGAAGAACCTCTAAAGCCATCTACGTTACATATTGAGGGTTAGTCACTCGCTGTTTTCCAGGTCACAGCTTTTATCATTGGGGTATGTCGTGAATATCAACGGGGAACTCTCCACTCCCTGGGGTACACCGGTGCTTTGTGTGTTGGAGTTGTCAGATATTTATTTTCCGTGAACATAAAGTATTTGGTAAATTCTTTATGAAATCACATGTTGTTGTCTGTATTGATAAATCTTATCTTAGTGTTATTTGTATTTTCTCTCTGACAATATCCTTTGAATTATGCAAAAATTTCGCATATTTTGGTATCTGCTTTATTTTGAGTAGCACAAGACCCATTTGTACAGAAAGTGATCCAACAAGATGTCTCCAGTGGTCCTGCAGTGTTCCGTGTGGTTTTGACCTAATTTTTTGTGCTGAACCGGACAAACCTAACTTGCAGTGCTTCACATATCAAAGATTCATATGGCCCACTTTCTGAAGATATTGGTTTGGTTTATTTATCATTGTGTGGTGCTTTAAAAAGGCAGTGCGACATGGGAGCGTCAAACTCAGAAGTCTTCCAAAAGCAAAGTCTCTCCCCAGGTCGGCTGCACTTAGGATGACCCACAAACACAGGTCTGCATTAGGTCTTTTAAAGTTTTAATTGGACCCAAATACTAAATCCATCCATCTAGTTTTTTCCGCTTCATCCGTTCTCGGGTCGCAGGGGCAGCTGTCGAAGCGGAGACGCCTAGACTTCCCTATCCACACACACTTCCTCAGCTTATCCAGGGGAATCCCGAGGCGTTCCCAGGCGGGCTGAGAGATAAAGTCTCTACAACATGTCTTACAAATACTAAATACTAAATACTGACTTAATCCGTCAATGTATTTTGTTTTATCGATATATGTCAACAAAAGTAAACAGACCAGATTTTGTTCCTTATTTCAGCATTTTTGTTGTTTTTTCTGTCTATTTTCAACAATTGTTTTTGATTATACATCTTTTCAGCGTCGAGGAGTAGTTTTCCGATCTATCTTTTGTTAAGTTGTACTTTAATTGTCCCCATGGGGAAATCTGTCTTCTGCATTTGACCCATCCTTCCAATACCACCAGGGTCAGTGACTGCTCTTTCAGGAGCAGTGGTCGCTGTGGTACAACACCTGGGGACCTATCTCCAGATGTTGATCAGGACCAGAGCTGGGGGATTTGACCTATTTTACATGTTTATAGTCGTAATGGGGCGACAGTGGCTCAGTTGGTAGAGCATTGGCCTTTGAGCCTGAAGGTCGTGGGTTTGAGCCCACCATAAGACCTACTTCACGACTCCTACTGATGACTGCTGTCGTTGTGTCCTTGGGCAAGACACTTAACCCCACTTTGCCTGAAGCCCCAACTGAAAGATCTCAGCTCCTGTGGACTCACCACCTGCAGGAGGATCAGTGAGGGGCTGGTGCTCTATGTACTGGGTGTAGCTCTGACTGCCACCCCCCGACCCAGAAATGGATTAAGGGGAAGAAAATGGATGGATGGATGGATAGTCGTCGGGGAAACCTAAACAGACATGGACAGAACTTGCAAACTCCCCTCAGAAAGGCCTTGTTTTGACCGGGATTCAAACCCTGAATGTTCTTGGTAAAAAGTGAGAGTGAAAACCACTCAGCCACCGATCTAGATTTGGAAAAAACAGATGAATAATTACAACGCTTTGTAAGAGCTGTCTCCAAACCCATGGGTTGCTTTGAAGCAGTGGATTGATCTTCATGAAAATACACCCAGAATACTTGTGTTGTGTCCTTGAGCAACGCGGCCTCTCCCTCTGCCACAGTCTGTAATGAAGGCAGATCATGTCTATCAAACATGAGCGTTCTGTCAGTGAGCGAGTTCATTAAATGCGCATTAGTCCACAGCAGCTGCCGGGCCCTGTGTGCGTACAGTATCTGTCAGATCACAGGGGCCCCTCACAGTGGCCCCTGTGTGCGGCGGCCCCTTTGCGGGAGATAAGAGAGCGCCTGACATTTTCACATCACACAGAGGCTGCATTCAGAGACGTGTTCAGGGATCCACCGGCGGACCACGCACAAGCGCTGAGTTCATTTGACCGCGTGACCTCAGCGGACTGTTAAGGTCCAAAGTGATGGATCTGTCGCCACGGTTACATGTGCGGAGAATATACAACACGCTACACGCTACTGTGCAATCAGCAGGAGCCCACACCACTCTACTGGGGTCAGGGAATATCTACCCCCAATGCAAGTTCTATAAGAAAAGACATGTTTAAAATGGACTTTTAACCATGTTTAAACACAATATTTATAGTTGTTTTTAGATCGATCCACGCTGATATCAAGAATTCTTCTGTCTTTAAGCTCCTGTCTCTCTGCACTATGATGTCATTGTACCATGATGACATCACTTTCAGGGAGCCGTTTAAAACAGAAGTATGTGTGTCTTTCCTCCTGTCAGGCCTGGTTTCCTGTTCGTACCTGGTCTTTCTTGTGAGTGACTTTTCTGGGATCAGACTGAAAAGGGCAGAACAGAGGGTTCTCTTGGCTCTGGTTGACCCTCACTCGTCGCTTCAGCGGCAAAATACCCCAGGCCTGTTTTTGATGAGGGAAGTGTCTTCACCCACATTGCCTAGAATGAGTCGGTGTGTGTGTGAAAAGTTGGTGGTGGTCGGAGGGGCCGACGGCACATACTGGTAGCCTTGCTTCTGTCAGTGTGCCCCAGGGCAGCTGTGGCTGCAGTGGTAGTTAATAACAGCTGTGTATGAAGTGTAAGAATAATGACATATGAAGCACCTTTGAGAGTCCATAAAAGTGCTAAATAAAACTGATGCATTATTATTAAAGTTAGTTACTCTCAACACTGGACCTGGTACGGCTCTCACGTCTGAAGGAAGGGGTGGTGCAGTGGATGTGTGAGCTCCAGACCCAGGCTCCCAGGGGCCCCATCCGCAGAGGCATGCTGCTTTTGGCCTCCCGCCCGGCCCGCAGTGCGGAGGTGCGCAGGGCTCGTAAAAACAGCCAGGGCATGAGAGGAGGGGTTCCTGCGCTCTCAGGTGCTAATGGCCCCCAGGGGCCCCTCATGCTGAGGACACAGCCAGGGGCCCCACGCACACACCTGCCTGCACCAGATCTGTGTAAGTATGTGGGCAAGTGGCCTGTTTGGCTGAGGCATAAGCAGCTGTTTATTATTTCAGGGGAAATGACTTTGTTGCACTTGTGATTTTAATGTTTCCTTTCATGTTATAAACAATTAGGCTGTGGCTTCATGCTCTCGCAGTTATTTTATCTGAGACATTGACCTGACTCCACTGTATATTGGAATGGATAACTAGATGCAGTATGAAGCCTCAGGAAAGCGCTCATGAACATAATTTTCCTTACAGGTAAACTCTTCTTCCACTGTTTGAGGCCCTGTTTATACTGAGACGCTGCGCAGACGTTTCCAGGCTATTAACAGAAACGACCAGGCTCCTAATGTAAATTTCTTGGCGTTCACATGAGGTTGAAAAACGATGTAGTTCTAGCGCCCGGCCAGTAGTGGGCAGAGAAACTTTACAACACTCACACGACCCCCAGCCCCGTGCCCAGCCCCCCTCTCGGCAGTATATTCACTTCCTGTGCCAGACCCTCAGAACGTACCAACATCATTCTGCATTTTAACAGCAGCTGTGAAAATGGAAACTGCACCTAGAACTTCGCGTGGTCTCGTTTGGACAAACGAAGGAGTAGAATTATCCTCTGTGCAGCGCTGGAAGCCCACGAAGCTAGTTAGTGTGCGCGGCGCCATTGTTGTTGATGTTTGTTCTCCGCTACTGCGCATGTCCAAATGTACGTGTGGGGAGCAGCGCGGAGGCGGGGGTCAGAGCAGAGGGGGATTTCACACCTTTTCCCATCTTGCTGGTGTGAAAGAGAGCCCCCGCTGTGCAGCGTTTCTGAGTTGTCCCACTCTGCAGGCTGGATCTGAACACTTACGTTTTCACCTGGAACACAGTCTTCGTATGAACGGTTGGTAGAAACCGACATCCAACTATACCGTTTTACTGCCACATTGTCTCCGTGTAAACTCAGCCTGAGTCACTTACAAATCACATGTTCAGGTTTTGTATGTCCTGCTTTCTCTTTTCTGACAAAATAGTGGTCTGAAAAGCATTTATATTGCCCCATCTTGACAATGAACTTGAGTCAACATGATTCAAATAACACAAATACAATAGCTGATTATCACAGTCCTTGGAAACTCCAGGCACTCTCCCAGACAAAGGAAAGCCCACATGGCGTCTGTGTGGCACTCTTCCACCTGGACACTCTGCTCTTTGTGCTGCCCAGCCTCGGAGCATGGATCCTGGGCTGGCACGCTGCTGGTGGAGGGGGTAGTGGTGGGTCAAATGCCCGAGGGAAGAGCAGATAAGGGGATGTGGCGTTTGATGTGCGACTCTAGTGTTTCTGCTGCCGGGGATTATCAGGAAACGGACACGGCCCGAGGTAAAAGACGCTGAGGTGGAAAGTATAAAGTTTAGAGAGGTACTATCATTTCACTTTCAAGAGTTTTATTCTTCATTGTGTTATTTTCTTGTCATGAGCTTTCCGTTCTGATCCTGTCACTGATTCACTGTGTCACACCCATTTTTATATATTTGCTGTTGAAAAATGTATGTAGCTGAGAGTATGTGGGGGAACATAAGCCCAACCAATCAAAAGCCTCATAATAATGTGACTACCAAGCATTCTGGGTATCGTAATTCTAAGACAAAGATCTCAAAGTCAAACCGTATTTTTCACCTGCGTCTGACGTTGAGATTGCTTTACAACCACTGTTATAGAATTATATACCCCATGAAGGAGAAAACTCAAAGGTCTTTGTCTGATCAAAAGCGTAAGTTTATTGTTAACATACGTACGGAGAGTCAGCACATACACAAGGCAGCATGTACTAGCTCTGAGGGCAGAGCCCCAAGTTTCCTGTATACAAGACACACACGAGAGACAGTCCCGCCCACAACAGATTGGAGGGGGCCACCCGTGAGGAGGCGCATGGGGAGCGTTTGGCGCCGTCTGGGAACGAGGTGCGAACAGACAGACAATGGTCTAAATGCAGGTCATACAGATGCAAGACACGGAAGACACAAGGGTGTGACAGACAGCAGGACGTAGAAGATGCACACATACAGACCGATAGATATGCAAGACACGGAAGACACAAGGGTGTGACAGACAGCAGGATGTAGAAGATGCACACATACAGACCGATAGATATGCAAGAGGCGAAAGGGAGGACAGTGATTTGCGCCATTGTCTGTAGGTGTCGGGGGGGGGGCCCGGCTCCTTCCTGGAACAGGGACATATGACATATGAATAGACACAGGCAGGGTTGCATGAATACTAGTCGCTTGCCATCACACTCCTTTCCCGTGATAATGTAAAAAACCCCAGTTTTACAGAGATCACATTCAGGTGTGCGAGTATTGACCTTGGCCCCTGAGTAAAAGAAGAGTTGTTGATGGGCAGGTTACGCCGCCGTCACCCAAGCCTCTTGTATTACGGGGGTGTGGTCAAAGCTCTTCGCTGTGATACCCTCCCCCTAAATTGTGGGCGGAACAAGTGGAAAAATAAAAACAAAGTAAACAAGAAAGAAAAACGTTAGACAAAGTCGTCGTCCGAATCGCTGATATAATCAGGATCGGAGTTCAGTGGGACCGCGGCCAGGTCCGCCTCAGGGTCTCTGTGTTGAATGGACACAAAGTGAGTGGATATCATTTTACCAACGGCCCGAAACACCATGGGTAATACACATGAAAATAAAATCATAACGGTCAATAGGGCTAAACCAAGATTAATGAGCACACTTCGCCAGGAGGACAGGAGCCAGTCCAGACCGTGAGGAGTGTCCGTGACATTGTCCGCTTGCATGGCGTCCCGGAGTCTAGTCAGATTGGCTATGCCCTGTTGGATAAGACCTCCGTCCTCATCGTTGGCCGGAATATATGTACAGCAGGACGACCCGATGATCGTGCATACGCCTCCCACAGACGCGGTCAGGTGGTCCAGGACCAGCCGGTCGAACAGTGCCGCCTTGCAGTCAGTGGCACCGCTCCCTATGAGCATGTGTGGAGCGTTAGTGGTCATGGCGATGTTTGGTCTTGGAGCGGCAAGACTCTATTTGCGTTGAAGCCTTGGCCTCAGCACTCGGTTGGGCAGAGTGCTCGGGATTTGGGGTGTGGCCTTGGGGTCCGGGGGCTGGGGAGTTGGGCAAAGGGGGGTTGCCTCGGCAACGCTGGGATCCTCTGGGTGTTGTTGTTGGCCTGCTTCACCGATGGTGGCCGCACGCCGGCCAACCTCTTCAGCGTAGGGAGCCGCGGATGGGCCTGGTCCGTCCGCGCCCTCGGTGTCCTCGTCTATGGCCCTCAGTGGCAGCACCGCACGACAGTGGTTGGCGTGGATCCAAGTTGTCCTCTCCGCGACCTTAACGGCAGTGTCCGTCACCAGGAGGGCGAGGAATGGGCCGAGCCAGCGCTTGGACCGCCAATGCTTTCGTCTCGTTTCCTTCATCAGGACCCAGTCGCCTGCGCAGCCTGTGGCAGGGCGCTCCTGACCTGGGCAGAAATAGAGGACAAAAGTGCATTAATTTCCTTACAATAGGACAGCATGTCGTCATCACACAAAGAGGTGCTTGGCAGATCTCTGTTCGGGGGTCCCGCGCCCAACGTGGGGCTAGCGGCAGAGCTTTGAGTGCCATTCTCTCGCTCGCACGTGCCTCCGGACCAGGGGGCGTAACTGCAGTGTTTACGTATATCAATGCCCAGAAATTCACCCACTTCCTCAATGACTTTTGCTACAAAGTGACTCACCACCGCGTTGCTCGTGGCGTGTATGCCTGCAAATACTTCAGTCCATTTGGACCAGAGATCCGCCAGACCCAGACAGTATTACTTACCTTGGCATGGTGTGAGTTCAACAAAGTCCCTTTGGACATGTTGAAATGGGCGCAGGGGCGGAGGATGAGCAGCCTGTTGGATACTTTTGGGACTTACCTGGGTTGTGCGCGGGGCATATAGCGCATGTTTGGCTGAATCTCTGTGCAAATGCCGTAAACCCCTTTGTATACCAATTTTGTGTGATTAAATCACACATCATCCCTCCTTTTGAGGCATGGTCTCGACCATGTGCTAAAATTGCAAACTGTCTGAAGAAATGCCGTGGTAGGCACGGTTTGCTGTCTGGTCCCAGCCACACACACCATGCCGTCGTTGAGCCCCATTCCCCTCCCACAGCAGCGTCTCTGCTGGAGTAGAAAATATCAACGTCTTGAGTGAGGTAGTGTGTGTGTGTGTGTAGAGGTGCGTATGCCGCTGCCTTGTCCGCACGCCGATTCCCTGCAGAGACGGGATCAGTGGCATTAGTGTGGGCCTGGCATTTGCATACAGCGATCTCTAAGGGCAACATTACAGCTCTCAGCAGACGTTCAACCTGTGTGGAATTAAGAATTGGTTTACCATCAGATTTCATAAAATTGCGGTGTTTCCACAGTGCTTCCCAGTCGTGCACCACAGAGAAACCATAACGCGTATCACAGAATATGTTAACCGTTTTGCCCGCTGCCAGCCCCGGTGGGCGCGACCAGTTCAGCGGTTTGTGCTGAATGGTAGTGGGGCAAACTACCAGAGTCTATAGTATCAAAATCAGAACACACAGCATAGCCGACTCGGTTCTTCCCAGTGTTGTCACGTGACGCGGCTCCGTCTGTATATAAAAAAAATCAAGTCAGGATTAGTCAGAGGCACCTCTTTCAGGTCTGGCCTGGGAGTGCATATCTGTTCTATTGTGGCGATACAGCAGTGTGCCTCCCCTTCCTCTGGCGTGGGCAGCAGCGAGGAGGGGTTCAGCTGTGTGCATCCCTTCACCGTAGTTCAAAGAGCACCGTGTTGTACCCCAGCCAACGAGCCGCAGAAAGGCGAGAGGCCCTCTGCTCTAACAGGATCAGGGAAACAGCATGGGGCACAAGCAAGGTTAGTTCAGTGTATCCCACAAGGTCACGTGATGCTAGGGCCGCTTTCTCAGCAGCAGCCACAGCCCGCAGGCAGCGAGGCAACCCTGCTGCCACGGGATCGAGTTTTGCTGAGAAGTAAGCAGTGGGTCTCAGTGGCCCTCAGTGAGGCTGCAAAAGTACCGACTGTTCCGTTCATCTCCAGTTGCTTTTCTCCCGGATCGTCCTCAATTCATATTGTGGGCTTTTGTGCCAAAGTGGAGGCTCATTTCCTCCTGATCCATACTACTGTCATCCCTGGAGCAGGGGTAGTTTATCTCTCATCTGAAAAAGAAATATCAGAACACAAAAAAAAACACAAAAAATGCCCACTTTCGCTTGTCAATCTTTTTCCCAATTGGGCAAAACATAACTGCATTGACAGACGGTGTGTGGCATCAGGGCGGAGGCTGTAGCCAGATACAGAACAACAAAATGTATGTTACTAATTTTATACTCCCCTAAATGTGAGTTTACGAACCAAAGTTGTCCTCCGCCCAATGACCGCTCACTGCGGTTGGACCGAATCACTGTCAGGGCAAACAGCAGAGTGAGGAACTCCCAATATCTTCAGCGAGGTATTTCATCTCCGAGTACTTTCCGCAGAGTACTTTTCTCAGAGTACTCATCCCAGAGTACTCTCACTTTTACACCTGTTCAATAAAGGTCATTATCTTTGAATCTCTAGTACTTACACCGTATGCTGTTGACAAAAAAGAATTATTCCATGATCACATTAAAACATTACAGACACATTTGTTATTCCATGATTCCGTTCAGCATTCCTCATTTCACTCCACACTCACATCACACTCATATCACAGTCACATCACAGTCACATCACAGTCACATCACAGGCCGATTCCCCACGTTAGTATTGGTCCAGAGTTTGTTAAGGTCAGCGTAGTGTACTTTGACATGACACACAAACATATAACATACACAAAACATATAACACACAAACATGTAACACACACAGAAGGCCTGTACTTTTAACTTTGTTATATTTTTCCATGTCCAATTCCAATTGTCTCATGAGCTATTTCTTATTGTTGCAACTTTCAGAGCCTGCAGAGCTTTAAAAGAGTTTTCCTAAAAGGATCCATTTCCAACTTTAGTGTTTACCACGTGGTCTATACTTCGGGCTTATCACAGATTGTGTCCCCTATATCTCTAATGAGCTCTTGTCACCTAAAAAAAATGTTTTTTTTCCTTATTTTTTTTTCTTTTTCAATAAAGCCAGGTCGGATTCATTAAAAATGTAAATTAGTCTCAAACTTTTATACTTCACCTTTGTTTCACGATAAAAATGTTTTTGTTACTCATTAAGTAGCACAGATAGTGGTGCCTATCTCAATAAACGTACTCCGTTAGCCTATCTTCCCTACACTGCATGAATTTTCAAACTCCAAGTTATTGTCTGGGAACGACCGGAGAGAGCAGCTTAGGTCGTTCGCGTGGTTGACCTCCAAATTT